GCTTCCCTCTTAGAATCAGTGCTTTACGCTATAACTTCTCTGTCTCAGATTTCTTACGACTGTGCCAGTTCTGTTGCGGAAGTATTTCGAGTTCCCTACGTGGAGACTAGCGCTCTTACGGGATATAATGTCGAGCTGTTGTTTAGGAAGATAGCCAAAGAAATGTTTGTCAAAGACCTGGAACGGAGGCAAAGAGGAATCAGATCTAGAGACCGTGATCTGGATGTTGTCGAGGAAAGAGTATATGTAGACAGGGGTGTGATAAATCTTCAAACTACGTATGCAGAAGAGCAGAAGACAGCTATTCCGAAGAAACGTCGATCGTGCAAATGTAGTTAAGATTCGTAAATTGCTGTATACTATGCCCAATTATGTCTCTTTTGTATCAATAAAAATTATAATTTGCAAAATTTTTGATGGAATTTATGGAGTAGTCATAACATTATACCGGTAAGTTTGATCGTTTTTAGAGTTTTTTCAACCAATCTTCATATACCCGCAAAACCATGAGATTGATAGAAATGGCGAGACGTCCCGTTACAAAATTTTTGATGCACATTTAAGCTAAAAAAATCTCCCAGACTAAATTTTCGCCAGAAATTTTCTTGGATTGTGAAACTTTTCTCTTAATTTTGGCCCAAAATCGAAGAGTGCTCAACTGCAAGTCCATGGCCCACTGCTGTGCCTATTCTACCCAATTTCTAAGACTCTTATGTTTTGAAATCGAAAGAGTTCGAATTAGGTAAAATACGCTCTTTATTGCTCAGGTCACCTCTCAAGGGTGTTTATCTGGGAGACTATTTGGAATTTCACTACTGCCATGCGTCGCAACCAATTTAAAGAGCTTAGCTTATCAGAAAAAGTCAGACGAGTACAGTAGTCCTTTTAGGCGCCAATAGTCTTTTTTGTCAGACAGTGACACATATTTATCTTTTCGCTCCCGAGACCTCAATTCTTATGATGTTAGATCGGATAATTTGGTATTGGATCAAGGAACAATCCCCTGAGAGATATTTTTCTTTACTCTTATCACTTAATTTTCTTCTCGTAATTGTTTTAGTTTCGTAAGGAGAAAAGTTCTCTTGGTTACTCATAAGAGTTAAAGAGTAAACAGGGTTCTCTGTGAACATGTTATCCTGTGCATAATTAAAGCTCACCCACTAAAGGACTGGGACAGAATAGAGAACGCCTGGCGAAAAAGTGCCCGAAAGAAGAGCAGCGGTCAGAGCACATCCTGAGTAAACTATTTTTTTACTCCACTTCAGCGTCATTTCAATTTATTTGTGGAAAAATTATGGATGAAAAAATTGAGGATGCAAATGATGATTCACCTGCCCATCAATCTATGATCGATGATACAGCTTCAACATCTCGCGTGGAAAAATTCAAAAAGCACCTTGTATCAGTGGGACTCACCCTACCTCCAACCCGGTTCTTCGGTCGGGTTTTAACCCGAGGACTAATTGTTGTCTTGATTTGGGCGGTGTTATGGTCCATCATTGGTGCCGATGCTTTACCCGGGGGAAATATATTTGGGATATTTATAGTGATCGTTGCTGCAAGTTTGTGTGGATTCGTCGTTAGTAAAATCCCCTACCTCCATCTACCTCCTTTGCTGGGCATGCTTGCCGCAGGATTTCTTCTTAGAAACGTTCGCGGTATAGATATGGCTCGTCATATCGACAAAAGCTGGTCGTCGACCTTGCGAAGGATGGCTTTAGTTGTGATACTCGTTCGTTCAGGGCTCGGGTTAAACACAGCTGCCCTGAGAAGACTGAAGTTTACTCTAGCTAGATTAGCATTTCTTCCTTGCATACTAGAAGCTGTTACGGCTGCCGTACTGGTGCATCTTTTTTTGGATATGAAGTGGCTCTGGGCTTTTCAACTTGGGTTTGTATATGTTTTAAATACCTAAGCTAATTGAAAATTACAAATTTGAAGAACTTGAAAACTAATCAATGATCAATGGTCAGTATGAAACTTTCTAAATTGCCGACTCCCACCCACTCCCTGCCCGGCAACTTCCAACCTTAAAACTTACACTTTTCAGTTGAAAAAATTTCTCACATGTCCTTCCTGTACATTTCATCTTATAAAAAAAGGCTTTGTTTAATTGATTCATCATAAAAGTTACAATTTTCTTTGTTGTAATTGGATTAAAACCTCTTATTTTCCACTAATTCACTTGCCAAGTTGTTATTAAACAGTTTTTTTGATCGAACAGTTCCAATGTTATTGCACTGTTTGTTATTGCACAGTTTAATAAGCCAATCACATTCAAAGCTGTAATTTAAATCAACTAATCACTACCTTAGTTTCTTATAATGCAAATTTTCCATTTCTTTCACATCTTGGCTTTATTCTTCTTTTCTCAGAAATTATAATTTTTATGATTGATTGGTAATAAGACTTTGATCTGTAATCATACTCGTGATAAAAAAATGGGACACCTGCTGTGGTCATGTGACTTTGTTCAGTCACTTGTGTGATTACAAACTAAATTGGACTCCACTCAGTCCAACAGCTGTATTACCATGACTTATCTTTCGTGCACACTCTAATTCAACAGTGCTGTAATTACCTTATTTCTTCCAGATCCAAAACGAGGTACCTTTTAAAGAGACACTTTCATTACCATAGACCTTAGAAGCCCATTTGGATATTAACCTCCCACACATTCATATTTCCATGTGTAACAAGGTTGAGACTTGTTTTTATATACTTTCTTTTATATACTTTCTTTTATATTCTTTCTTTTATATTCTTTAGATTTGTTCAAGCTGCTGTTTCTCTTGCTGTTGTAATACCTTGTTTGTTAGAGCTACAGGAGCAGCATTATGGAGTCAAGAAAGGAATACCCACCCTTGTGATGGCTGCAGCCTCTTTTGATAATGTGCTCTGCATAAGTGCATTTGGAGTCTGCCTAGGAATCGCTTTTGATTCAGGTAATGAAAATTGTTAATTCAGGTAGGTTGGTTTTTTGGGTGTTTTTCTAGTTCTTAGATGATATTGTTTTTTTAAAGCATGACGTTTTCTGTATAACGACTTGCAAAAATGATCTCTTAGCTAGATTTAAATAATTATTCTATCTGTGATTTAAAACTCAGTCATGAAGACAAATTTGGCATCCCAATTATCTATCACAGGTGATAGCTGCATTAAATGGCCCACTGGTGTTGCCTTTTGCATACCAGCCTTAAAGCCACAAATATACTTTTGCTGGCAGTGCATATAAAAATTATGTTGAGTGGCTTAACTCTCAACAAAACCCACCCTCTCCCGCCACTCCCCTCCCCCACAATTTCAGGATAGATCTTGCAATGCAGGTGACAGGTGACTGATAATGTGAGATCAAGACTTATATGTTGAGTTTGGTTTTCATGATTTATTTTAATTTCTGTTTATGATTTAAGGTAACCTTATATTCAGTATATTCCGAGGACCAATAGAGTTGGCTCTGGGAATAACTCTTGGATGCCTTGCTGGTGTAATTTGCTGGTTCTTTCCTAATAAGAATGAGGTAAAAATCAATAAACTGACAGAGGGCTGTGGGAAAATTCAAGTGGGAAAATTCAAATGGTGATTGTAAATGCATGAAAGCCATTTACCATGTACTGTTTTCACTGTCTTTGAGGGTAAGTGGATAACAAAAAATACAAAAGACTGCATGCATTCTTTATAATAAATGATCAGCTGATCTTAAAACTGCAATTCCCTTTAATACAAACTAAAACCTCTTTTCTCTCTGCATTTGTCTCCTTAGACTAACTTGCCTAACAACAGAGTGGTGATTCTACTGTCACTATCGCTGTTGTCAGTATTTGGTAGTAATGTGGCAAAGTTTTCTGGTGCTGGGGCTCTTGGGGTACTAACCATGTCCACCATTGCCGCTTATGGCTGGACCCAGCAGGGCAAGGTATAGTACTGTAGTCTGTTTATCAAGTCTAATGTTCACTGCCTAGAATTAGTGGGAAGGCAAATGGCAGAAAAGGACTTGTCTATGCAGTGTAGACTTTGTTACAATAAGTCTATCCTGTCATCTTGAGTGTATCTTGAGTAGATGACTTAAATATAGATCTTTATCTGAACTTGTAGCTACAGGCTGATTGGATGAGAACTGCCAAATTTGTAGGAAATCTCAATGTCAACCTCAACCCAAATCCTGCTGAAGGCTTCTTTTTATCATTGCTTAAATTGAAGCTAATTCATTTGAGGATCATGACTTTTCTAATTTTTTATTTGTTGATGAAATGAAATTCCTTTCATTTGAAATTTTGAAATGTGTCTAGGGTTAGCTAAAGTTCACTTTTATAAATATATTAATTGTATCTATTATAATTTCATTAGATTTTATCAGGGAAATGCACTCCCTTTTTTTTTTCCTCTATAGAAAGAGTAATGTTCTGAAGGAGACATACAATAATTTGCATTAATAATTGTGGATGGAATACTTGATTCTTATTTGATTATTTGGGTACATTGACAGGCCCCTGTAGCCAAAGTGATGTCTCTAGTGTGGCAAATGTTTGAACCACTTCTCTTTGGCCTTGTGGGAGCTGAAGTCAGTGTAGAGTACATGAATAGCAAGGTTGTTGGTAAGTGATATTATGGTGGAATAATCTACAGACAGTGTGATGGCAGAGTCAGGATGTTGGAACTATAACCTAGGGTGGTGTTGGTTCAGGTCCTTAACCCTCGGCTACACTCTGGATTTGTCCCCAGTCCCTTCAAAGTCAACTCCTTGTCTTTGCTCTATCAAAAGTCAATGCAACTGGTCCACCTTCTATATTCAAGGGCTAAGAAATAACTTAGATGTCTATTTTAATTTTATGAATATTTCTTCTCATCGGCTGTGTAAAGCCCCATGAGGGAGTAACAAATAAAGTTATTACCATTGATTAGTAGCATTATCAAATTATTAGGTATCACTCAGGGCTCGACATTAACGGCTGCCCGCTTGCCCGGGGCAACTAAAAATTTTATCGCGGCAACTAAGTTTCGTATCCTAGTTGCCCGATCGGGCAACTGAAAATTTTTGTGAAAGTTGAAGGTTATCATGAAAAACTAAAAAACTGTATTCCAGCAATTACTAATTAAAAGGAATGAGGTGCGGGATGTCCTTTAAAAGAGTACTTTAGTGTGCGTTTCTCAGCTCGCCCTTTTTTTCTTTCCCGTGTTAACCGAAGTGTGAAAAAGTTGTCTAGACAAGTCGTTTAGAGAAACTGTCACGTTTGTCAGATAGGTCAGTTTGTGTTAGCATCCTCAAAATGTTAGATTTTGTGCATTGTGTACTTTAAATTCTGGTGATTAGTTGATTGTATCGCATATCTGGTGTTATTCTTTGAGTCAAAATGCAGAACTGAAGTCCAACCAGTTTTGAGCTACCACAGACGATTTATTTCTTCAAGCGTGAAACATGCCAGTTTGTCTAGACACGTCTAGACAATTCGTTACAGCACATGATTGTACACGTGCATTTTAAAAAGAAACAAATTACTTAACGTGGAGATTGCAATCGCGAACGAAAAAAATTACTATCCTGCCAGTCAGCACTGCGTGTTGTGAACGTGGCTTCTCTTGTGTAAAACGAATTAAAAGTAACTTAAGGAGCACTCTCACTACTGAAACCCTTGATGTTTTGGTGCGCATTTCCCTCAATGGAAGATCTCTGGAGGAGTTTGACCCCATGCCAGCTGTAAAGCACTGGTGGGAGACACGGGAGAGAGCCAGAAGGCCTGGATTTAGGCCACACTAAGCACTTGGTTGATATCGTTAATAACTTACTCTGATGTATACACACTGAGCTTAAATGTGAACAAATTTCGTTTAGAACCTTATCCTCATTTATCCCCTAGTAACTTAGAATAAACATTAAAGAAAGTTAATAAAAAAGTTCCTGTTTTGCTGATAAAGCTTTATTTAATTTGTTTTTACCGAATGTTTTGGGCAACTAGAATTCTTCCTCGGGCAACTAGACTGTAAGGGTTTGTTGCCCTTCGGGCAACAAACTTAAAAAGTTTATGTCGACCCCTGATCACTTTGTGCTGATATTATTCTTAAGAGAGTGGGTGACATGGAAATAGACTTTACTTCATTACAGAGTCATTAACGTTTTCGCAATTACTGTTATTTTGTAATAATTGAACAGGAGGACAACACATCCTGAATGGACCAAGGGACCTTCCGCCCACCCTTGGCATTTTCATTCAAAAGCCTTACTTCACATGCATTGAATATCAAGATAGATTGCTGATACGTTCATTGCCGTATTAGTTACTTAATATTTAGGTGAAAAACTCAATCCTTCTTAATGAACTTTCCTTTTTTCTTTTCTGAAAGGTATGGGTATTGCAAGCTTGGTTGTTAGTCTAGTTATACGGCTCTTCACTACTTATCTTGGCTTACTCGGTAATGACCTCAATTTGAAGGAGAGGCTGTTCATCGCTATAGCGTGGTCGCCCAAAGCTACTGTTCAGGTATGTAAGAAATAAAGAGAATGTCAATAGATTTTAAATTTGGCAGAATATGGAAGTTCCCTTAAAAAGAAAGCAGGGAGCGAGCGAGCGAGTGACTAGGAGGAAGAAAAAAGGAAGGAAAGGAAGTAGGGTGGGGTCGAAGAAAGTTGGAGGCAGCGGTAGCAAGGGAAGGAGGGACAGGCAGAGAGATAAGGAGGAAGGGGTGGCGGAGAAAAAGGAGGAGGATGGGGGAAGGGGAAAGGTTGGAGGGAGGAACGGATCTATAAAATGTTCTAATTATTCGTTTAACTGTGTGCCAAATTTAGGCTGCCATTGGTTCTGTATCTCTGGACTTAGCACGGCAGAAGGGCTTCACAGGTCAAATTGAAGAGGAGTTTGGAATACTGGTGAGTTGCCTTCTCAGATTGCACGAATTCATTTTATTATGATTACGGATATGATGCAAGATGGAACCTAAGCTTTAAACTGAATCACTGTACTTCTATTGTTTCTGTGTTCGTTGTGATAGATTCTGACCATTGCTGTTCTGGTTATTCTTATAACCTCACCTATCGGCGCCATAGGGATTGTTTTGGCTGGACCTCGAATGTTAGAGCGCAGTCTCCCTCATGGAGTAGAGGTCGATGGTGTTCAGCTAAAATCTTCTGATCCCATGAAAAAGAGGGAGAGTAGATTTCTAGAAAGCACCGTGTAAGAGTATTTTATTTATTTTACGATAGAACCATACAAGTCATATATGTCTTTAACATACCAAAGCGAGAGAAGAAAATATTGTTAGTTTTGTTATTAATAAATATTTTTAGTGGCAATTTACTATACCAAGTAAAATTTAAAAAAAAAAAAAAACTTACAGAAATGGACATGCACATTTGCGCTGATTTTGGTACGCAATAAGAGATAAAGTTGACGGCTTCACGTCTTCTATGGGAGACGTTTTCAAAAAGCATTCATTAAATATTTCCTTAGAATGATGTGTTGCAGTTACAAAGCTTTGACCAGTAGCATATAACTTACTGATCTTTGAGAATTATCTGCCATAATTCTTCTTACACCACTTATTGACACTTGAATACAAACGAAATGTAAGAATTGAAATGAAATACTTGACATTGAAAGAGGTGTCAAAATTATTTAAATAAACCATCTTACTTAATGACCGAAAAAAAGTAAGATGATATAAAACTAGAGAAAATTTAGAACGAAACCAAAATCTAAAAGAACAAGAAACATTAACAAGACCCAAACCAAAACAAATGTCAAAACGAACAACGTATTAACAACTAAAGTTGTGCTTCTGTTAAATCGAAGAAATCCAAACAATCAAATTTTGATCGATTTCTTTTTCACTGTTTTGAAAACATTAGCAGAAATTAATGCATAAACAAAATAAATTAAACGACAATGCTTGTAGCAGATTGGATCTCACCGTCAAAGTCATACAAATAAGAATAAATATGAGGTTAAAAGCTTTTATCGGAATGATGTGTCTTAGCGATACCCAGGGCGGGCGACAACACACGACATTATTACTTGGAAATTTGGTGCAGCTTTGGCCGGTTTTATATGTTCCAATAAAGGAAGGTGTCTTCCATACTTATTCACCATGATATGTTGAATTTTCGTAAATATCTTCAGCGTTTATGAGGTCGAACCGTGGATGGCATGATTTCTCCACGGCATTAGAGTTAAGTGTATGTATTGGCGATTACATCGTCAGGTTCATGTCCCAAGTTGATGTTGGCATTATTAACAGTGGGGTTTTGGGGCCTTCCTCCACGACAATACCCGCGACTTACCCCAAATATTACCAAAAAAGTAATAAGTAGAATCGCTAACGTAGCCATGCCGAAAATTAAAAAAATATGCCATTTTTCCATTTCATCATCTTTATCCGGGCTTTCCTCTCCCGATTCTTTATCTTTTGACGAAGGGTTTCGATCGATTTTCACATTCAACGAGAAAACGACCAACTCTTTGACTTCCGCATTGTGTGACGAAGGCGTGGCCGTGACATTGACTTGTGTGACAATGCCAAGAGGGGTGTTAGACTGAGATGAAAGGATCAATAGAAATGAGGAAGTTCGTTGATGATCCAGAAATGTTCGAGATGGTTCAATATTACCAGTTATGCGAGGTTGTGATGTCAGCACCTGAAAATATAAAGCCAGAGAGACTGATTAAACAAGAAGAATCGTGAAGGAACTCACTACTTGAAAACTCTGGACAAGACTGGGATGATACGTCCATCCATTAGAACTATTGCCAATTAACAGATGACAGATAAGCAGTGCCTCTATGGAATGTAAGGAAGTCTGCTCCAGGCATTGTATTTTATAATTTCTTGGAAGTTTCAAACTTAATTTTAATGTTAGCTTTGACTAATTGTTGTTTAATACCAATTATTATATACTTACATCGAAGGAGAAGGTTTCAGCTGCTGCCAAATTCATAACTGTAAAGTTAAACTTTAAACTCTCTCCAGTTTCCAGAGATAATTCATAAGTGGGAACATTTGCCCGTAACTGGATGTATTTAAGCGCTGCCGTTGATGTTGCAGGTGTACTTGTTATGCCTTGTCTCTGTGGCGTGACAAGAACCTTGAGATCGAACAGTTTCACCTCTTTATCATTCACACTATCTGACTGTGCAACAGCCTTCACGCTGATTGTCTGTACTTCGCTGATGTTACCACGTGAAGCAATAACCACATGACCAGAAGTACTGGCGTTGGTTTTCAGAGCGAGGCTGAAGGGGATGACGTAACTTATGAGCGAGGGAGTCTTAGAGACGTGAAACACAAAGAACCCTTTAGAACCAAGGTTGACGAGTGTAAAAGGGACCTTAGTGGTCTGTCCTGGGTGCAGAGTCACAGCGGAGGTGTTTGGACTGGCTCTAAATGATACGATATCAGGAACGAGGCTTACAGAGCATATTCCCATGTTTCCAACGAGATCCACTCCGACGAAGATGACCTTTGGATGACAGCAGTTGGATGTGAATGAGGCTGAAATGGGCGTGTTCGCAGCTCCTTGGTTGAAAGCAGCCACTGAACGGAATTAAAGTCATAAAGGAAAAGTTAGTTAAGGGGATTTTTGCTAGTTTATTGCTATTGGTTTTGACGGATTGGGTTTGAATTCTGGGTAGAATCCTTCTGAGGAGTCGCAAAATTTTTGGTTCCCTACAAAATTACCTTATAACCACCTTTTCCTAAGAATAACTTTCTTTTTAGACTATTCGAAACTACAGAAACAGTAGTGGAATGAAAAGGTAACGAAATGAATCAAATTACCATTGAGAGTTCCATTACGATTTTCTCGTGACGTGATGGACAAAAGTCCTTCCCCGGAGTCATTGAACGTGACCTGTGCAACCCACGTGCTGGACACGCACTCAGGTCTACCGTATACGCCTGCGCATGATCCACTCTGGCTCGTTATGTTACATGATGGTGAGGAGAGATCTGGGGCCTGTCGATGTCAAATGACGGTTGCACCTGAATGAAAGTACATGTAAGGTCACGTTAACATCTGTCGTCATTTCGCTTACATTAAGAATGATCAACGGAGGAAAATGACTCACTCAAAGAGGAAGTTAGTGAATTAGTGTTGATGATAATGATAACAACAATTATAATAATGATGATGAGGACTTAGCACTAAGTGATAATGATAGGGATAATGATGGATTTCAAAGGGAAGAAATCTGTAAAACGTGTACCTCCCAAAGAGTTTTCTGATTATGTTCTTCTTGTAAAATGCCTTAGCCCTATTACTTTGCAACCATTTCTTTCTATAACTGACCTTTGAAGCAACAGTAACAAATAAAACCATGAAATTCACGAGTTGAGTGAACCTCGAGTCCTGAAATGCAAATACAGTAACAGTGCTGGTGACGCCATATTTTGCGTCACTCGGAGCTGCTAGGGATACTCGAAGGACAAGCGAGTTATTCTTTCCTGAGCTTCCCTGGGATGGGTTGATCTTGCTTAAAAAGTTTAGATCATCTGTAGCCTTAAAATATAATTGCTGTTGGTCTCCAGTGTTTGTGACGCTTATCTTCAACTCTAAAGATTCCCCTGGAAATATGGCGTTTGAACCGTTGCTACTGTCAACGTTTTGGGACAGTTTGACGTCACCAAGAGTAAATAAAGTAGGTTTCATGCGCTGAAATCGGGCTCCAGTTGTGTCAAAACCTGTGACTTTAAGTCTAAACCTGTCTGCCGATGGAATGAATTTGACGTAATAGAAATCCTGGTAGAATCCTTCTCCCTGTGTTATGTTGAAGGTTTCCAAACCTGTTCCGTTAATACCAACGAGTGTTAAATTGGTCACTTCGTCAATTTCTTGACCAACGAAGTCCAAGGTAAGAAGCAAAGTTTGGCCTGTAATGGAGTAAATAAAAGGACTTGATGTTAATCCCTAGCAAAAATAGTTTCAAACTTTCTGTTTGGTGGAGAAAGCTTGATTTTCAGACAGCGAATTATCATTTTAATTGAGATTTTTAACAAATATTTCGCAAAAACTAACCAAGTCTTGAGAAAAGGCCTCAGTGAAGACGATTTGAAAGAGAGAATCTTAATTTGAGAGATATACATACATAGCTATATATATA